TGGTGACTGTGCCCAAGGGAAAGGAATGAGGCAATGGCCCAGGAATGGCCCAACCCTGGCATGGAGTGGGCTCATCTTTGTCTGAAAGGCAGGTATGGCCTAGGGGAGGAGTGGGCAGAGGAGGGGGTTGGTGAATGAGAACCTGTTTGCTGAGGTGGTTGCCTCCTATCAAGAAGAATAGCGTCCACCTTACCATTGGCCAGGGACAGGAGGATGAGGTGCCTGGGACCCTAGCAAAGGATTCAAATGGGGACCAGTGGTCTGTCTCTGTTCCATTAGGACCAAAGGCCTCACCGTGGTGTTAACACAGAGCTCCCTGCCTTTTGTGGAAGCCCCAGGGTCCTCATCTGATGGTCTGGGCATCTTCATGGCCATACAGCATTTAGGAGGGCAGCTATGTGCCATGGTTCTGACTCAGTGGTGACTTGGGGCTTTGTTGAATGCCCCATTGTGGTTGGTGATGGGGATAGTGTTTCTGTGGATCTTAGAGGCAACATAATACATGTGTTGTGCTGTGCAAGGGATTAAGTGTGAAAATCTTACCCTCTTAGATGCAGCCCGATGGTTTTCTGGGTTTCTTTTTGCTCTGCCAAATGCATAGTAAGCAAGAATGACAAGTAATGCATTACACACAGAATGGCTTTTTCCTGTTCCCCAAACCACTCAGGCAGCACTGATGTGTTTTTGACTGTGACATTTGCTCTGGAAGTACTCATGAGCGCTGATGCTGCAACAGTGTTTAGATGTCACCCTTGGGTTTGCAGAAAGGGCAACAAGAAAATAGGATGTGAGCACTGAGTATCCCAGCCTGCCTTTTCATCGTTGTATTCATCACGTTTTTGTTAAATGCCTTCTTTGGGGTGAAGTGAACCATAGTGATGAGACTCAACAGGCTCTGTATTCAGAACTACTGTGTGTTTAACCTCAAGCTCGGCTGCTTACAGCTGCGTGACCTGGGGCAAGTCACTTCACTTTTCTGCACCTCAGTTTCATCGTCTGTAAAACTGGGACAATGTGACACTTACACCTCTCTTTCTGAGATTGTTTAGAGGATTGAGATCCTCCGTGAAAAGCTCCATACATTTTACTGATTAGTATTACGTGCTAGGCTCTAGAGATAAATGTGAGCCCTGCCCTCCTGGAACTTACAATCTGGTTGGGGAGACAGATGTTAATTGAATAATCATGCAAGTATAAAACTACCTGTGTGCGGCTAACCTCAAATGAGACACCAGAGAAAGGTTCCGACCAAGTGTGGATTGAGCTCAGGCCTGAAGGATGTCTGCATTTACTTGGTGAAATGGAGTAAGGAGGGCATTCTAGTCTGGTCAGAGGAAGCTGGTGCAAAATCCCTGTGGTCCTTGGGCATGAAGGTGCTGTGGACACTTTTTTTTTTTTTAAGATTTTATTTATTTATTTGAGAGAGAGAGAGCAAGAGAGCACGCACATGAGCACAAACAGACTCCCCGCTGAGCAGGAAGCCTGAGGTGGGGCTCCATCCCAGGACCCTGGGATCATGACCTGAGCCGAGTCAAAGGCAGACACTTAACTGACTGAGCCACCCAGGCGCCCCACTTTCGACATTTGAGAGATCGAAAGGAAGCCAGTGTGGCAGGGTCTCAGGGAGCAAATAGTTGACCAGGGTCAGATGACCCCTGGTGCAGAACTTTGTGGGTATATTTAGGTTTTTACCTAATTTAAAAGCAAGGGGAAGTCACTGCAGGGTTTTAGTAGAGGAAGGACACAATCCAATCACATTTTGCAAATATCACTGGCTGCAGAGTGGAAAATGTCTGGGAGCAGAGCCGCCTGGAAGCCGTTAGGACACCCATGCCCAAAACTGTCACCCAAGCTCCCTTGATGGGTGATAAGGATAGCCTACATATGAAAATACAGGTACTCAGGACGAATCCCAGACCTGTAAGGATCACAATGGGGTCGGGGCTGGTGACCTTTTCGGGCAATGTTGGGAAATCCTGCTGTGGGTTCTGTCGAAATGACGAGAACCTAATTCCACTTTAAAAACAATTTTTAAAGAATAAGTTGCTGAAGAGTGAAGACTGGATTGGTTTGACTGTGTATTGTGTATTTTGCCCATGACTAATATTTTGTTGAGGATGATAAAACTAGGACAAATGCTAGCACATAAACCAAGTCAAACCAGTTAGCGATGATTTTTAATCATTTTCATTCATGGCCTGGGTCTCGTTTTTGTGAGCGGCACAGGAAAGTTGCGGGCACCACCCTCCTGGGGCAGCATCCTCCCATCTCTTTGAGTTAATCTTGTACTGACTTGGGCTGCCGGTCTCTGATTTTTACCCTTGAGGTGTCCTAGAAAATTCATGGCAGAATTTGAATGGGTGAGAATATAGGCTTCCGTGTTGACTAGTGTCATACCAACATTTCACGGGAGATGGGAGGTGAGCTCAGGTTCTGGAATCAGAATTGGCTTAGGAGGGCCAGCTCTTCTGCCAGCTGCCTGTGTGGCCTTAGGCAGGGTGTGGACCATCAGAGTTTCTCATTTTTGTCTTTGTTGTGAAGTTTCTTGGATTAAATGAAAAAGATAAGTGCTATTAGATACCCAGTACATAGTAGGTGCTCAAGAAATAGCCAGCCATCCTACCTTCTCCCCTGTAAACACTTTTTCCCCTTACCCCTCTGAATCCAGTGTGGTTTGTAGAAAGAACACGGACCCTCATGGGGACCTGTGTGATATTGCCAGCTTTGTGTAGATAAGGTTTTTCCACCAGTGTTCATCCATTCATCTGCCCAACTAGCCAACATGACTGAGCACCTGCCAGGGGACAGACCGGAGAACTGGGAGCTGAGTAGAGCTGTAAACTCTCACTGAACACAGCTCTCAAGAAGCGGGAACAAATATGTCTTGAAAAAACCAAAGAGGCAGCGGCTGACAGTCCAGTCCCTATGTTTTTGTTTTCCACACTGACCACGGAAGTAACTCCGAAGTCAATTTCCTTCTGAAGAAAGGGTACTGTGAGGCAGTGTTGCTGTCTGACCAGGTCACCGCAGGCCCCTACAGGTGACTGCTATGGCCTGCTGGCCGGAGAAGTCTTCAGTGCTGGAGGTGGGGTGGAATAGCATGCACTCAGGCCTAGTGTGTAGACAGAGAATGGAGTGCAATCTCTGAGCGATCAGGCATGTAGTGAAAAATCAGCTGAGAGGACTTATTTCTCAAGGCAGAAGATTACTGGGGATTAGGTTATCCTGTATCAAGGTCCTTTGGGGAATCACAGAGTCTTGGATGGTAGCCCGTATCTTCCTTCATTCTTGCAAAAGGGACCGTTCGGGGTTCTGTTTAACACCTAGATCTCCAATACTGAAGTATGTAGGAGGCCAGATAGAACCTGCAGGGGGCCCTGTTTTCCAACTGTGCCCCTTGGTTTTATGGCTGGTTTTAACCCCTTAAAGTCTTAGAGACCGGCACTTAAGCTAGACTTAACTCTGGCAAATCGTTGTGACCAAGGATCAGATAAGACTCCAAGGACATGAAATATCTTCTCTTCTGGAGAAGCCTGCTCACTTGGCCCTTTCTCAGGGCTCTTAGCCCTGGAGAGACTTGTCAGGCCCAGTGAAGGAGGCCCTGGCCTGAGAAGCTAGGAGATCTGTTTTCTCATCTCAACTCTGCTAGAACTCCTGTGACCATGAGTGACTCACTTCTAGAGCTTAACTTCATTTAGCCTCCACTTGACCCTCTAATAATCAGGTTGCACAGACGATGACAAAGGAACTTTCAAAACAATAACATCCTATGATTTCAACCCATAAATATCCCCATTTGTGTTATCTTTTTGTGTTATCTTTTGTATCTTTGTTTTAAAGTCCCTGCCTCAACTAGATTATAAAGTTCCTTGAAAGCAGGAATCATGCCATATCCATCTTGGTACATTGGTAAAATATCTAGCAGAGTACTTTTCACATAGTAGATGCTTTAAAGATCTGTTTGATTTATTGATTATATATTGGCAAATTTGGAAGAACCTTACACTGAGCCTATCGATGATGACTTTTGCGACTGTTCCAGAGCTGAGAACCCCACGCTGTTATAGTGTGGCATGAAAGCAACTTGCCCTCTACCTACAGTTCCTTTCAAGTACAGTACGGGAAAAGTGGCACATTAAGACAAAGGATTTACTCATCTTCCTTCACTTTGGGAGTCTGAGCCTTGCCTGAGTTCTCAGGCTGTTTTCCGATTTCTGCCTTGGTATATATGTGTTGCAGAAGGGCTTTCGGGAGTTATGTCACAGTAAGCCATTACCAAATCGAGGCATTTCTGACCTTGGAAACACCCAAGTCACGTTATCTGTCAGGTCACTGGAGTTTGAACTCTGAGGCAGGTATGAGATGTTTTAATTCGTTGGTGTGTGCGTGTGCATGTTTATAGCCAGTTTTCATGTCCCCGTGTCCTGTGTGTGTACATTTACGTGGTGGCATGTGACTTCACACTATAGATGCTTTGTAAATTATGTTATTTACACAGTGAACTTACGTTTTCACATTTGTGAGTGGGGTAACAACTTTAGGCTTTCATCTCCTACTGAATGCAAGTTCTTGGGGTTGTAGGGTGTAGGATTTTTCCCTCAGCCGGTCTCTCAGCTTCAGGTTAATGGATTCAGTGACATGAAAAATTCAGTGAAAAAAAACTCAACGTTGTTTTATTCTACTATAGAGATATGGAAGTATGGGAACCATTGTTCATTAGTCTGCAGCTAGAGAAGAGCCAGCCTGCATTGAGAACCCCAACTATAATATTTTTCAGTAGGTATTGACAGTTAGGGTGGTCAGGGATGTGTTGTCAATAAAAAGCGTTGTCAATGAAAAGAAAGATCTCTCTGGTGTTTTGAGAGGGGGAAAAATCCCTGTTTGGGTTTTAAAGAGGACTGGGAGTTAGGGTTTATGTTTCTTATCAGGAGTCTCTTTAAATTTATTCTGCCGATTCTTGGCCGTTGGAAACTGTGATTGATTGTCTCTGTCTTCTATAGCTTGGAATTGCAATTGGGTTCTTGGTCCCTCCTGTTTTGGTACCCAACATCGAAGACCGGGACAAGCTTGCCTACCACATCAGCATCATGTTTTACATAATAGCAGGCGTGGCTACTCTGCTTTTCATCCTTGTCATCATCGGTAAGGTCATTAGTAGACTGATGGGGGGCCAGGAGGCAGGGAGGTTCTGCTGACTTGGGTGGGGACCTTGTGAACATGGCCTTAGAATACCATGGACATTTATAGAAACTGGAGGCCAGGCTTCTAGTGGTCTTCAAATGTCTTAGCCAAGAGAGTGCTAGCTGGTCTTGTGTACTTTGTTAGCTGCTCAGTAAAGATTTAGTTGTAATTAACCAGTTCCCCAATAAAACCTCACCAGAATTAATGGGCGGGCTGTTGATCCCCGTGATGAAACCCCACTGAGTGCTTATGATATATATCACAGACACTGTGCTAAGCATGCCTGATCTTGAATCTTGAGTGAAGTTTACCGTCATCAATCCCATCAATCCCCTCTTTCCCACAAAGAGGAAAACGAGACTTAAGGGGAGTTAAGTCAATTATTTGAGATTAGTTAGCTAGTAAGTGGCAGAGAGTGCCTAACCCTGTCTAACTCCATACTCTAAATTTCTGGAACAAACCAAAACAAAACAATTGGCCCACAAACACTTAATACTCTCATGGATTCATCTGAGAATGCCTGGGGACCACATTTGTTGAGGCTTTTTAAAAAAACGATAAGAGGAATACATGCTCATTATGGAAAAATCTGGAAAATACGAGAAAGCATAAAGAAAAGAATAACCTGGGTGCCTGGCTGGCTCAGTTGGTAGAGCACGCAACTCTCGATCTCAGGGTCATGAGTTCGAGCCCCATGCTGGGGGTAAAGGTTACTTCAATAAATAAATAAAATAAATAATTAAAATAAAAGGGAATAACCATTTAATTTAGACTGTACCAGTTAATCCCCACCAGCAACCTCAGATAACTACTATTAATTTTTATGTGCCTGTACATTTGATCGTTGAGATATTGGTTAATATATTTTATATCCTCTCTTATCATCTGAGTAATATTACCTGTGCTGTGATAAATTCAGAAACAGTATAGTAGAGGCTTTTTCATTTTCAGGTAGTCACTCGTCTTTAAAGGTTATCCGGCTTTCTTCCTAACATTCCATCCCAACGTGGTAAAGGTCTCATTCTTCCCTGCTACCCTCACCTCCAGAGTCAGAATGGTTTTATGATCGTGCACCCCGTTCCACTGTTCTCATCGAGGCGTTCTCTCCCTCGGGGTCCAAGATGAGAAAGTTTGATGGCTTTTCAAAGCTGGCAGGATATGCTGGGCAGAGGACTTGCTGTTTCTGGGAAGGGGAGAAGCTACAGGGCTATGGATAGCCGCAGGAAAGAACAGTCTGCCCAGGGACCCTCTTACTCAACCAGACCTTAAGTTTCAACTTGTAATGTGCCAGCTTCAAATGCCCGTGCTTAGCGCCGCTGAGGGCGTGGTTCTTTGCATTTGAATTCCTGAAGGTAAGACATTTCTACATTTTGACATTTTATTATCAAGCCAGAGAGTGGCTAATTGAGTAAAGAACTGAGAAATCTGATCTAAATTCTGGTTTGTGGTGGCCAGGGTCTTGAACAAACCAGACAGAAATAGCCTCTTGCCTTGCTTTCTTTCCCCTGCTGCAAGGGGAGGTGAACGGGCAAGACAATGGATGAGTGGTTTCCAACGGCAGGAAGTAATTCAGGACTATTTCTGGAGAAGGAAGAAGCAGGGCTCTGAAGTTAGGGCTGGAAGGTTTTCTGGGTGGGGGACCTCTTTGATCTTCAAGAGAGTAAACCTCATTTCTAGAGCTTCCTCTAACTGGAAACAGTCTACTGACCTTTCAGGAGTGTTCTCATGGTATGTGGAGAAGGCTACATGGAGCTTGCCTGGACCCAACTTCGGGGGGCAATTTAGCCAAACAACTGGTTACACTTATCTGCCCCCAGAACCTGAAGAGTGATCAATGCTGTCAAATTGATTGTACCAGCTGTGCTGAAAATCGAATATAAAATGAATGGTTTTCATTCCCTTCTGTCCTGTCCCTCCCCAGTCCTTCATATCACAGTGGCCACTCCTGCAGGGGTATGTGTTAATTCTCTTGTCTTTTCAGGAGGCAGACATTAGACTCAGACCTTGACAAACTAAGAATGGACTTGAGGTTTTTTCAATAGAAGATCTTTTCACTTATTCAGGGAATATTCCTTGGCTGCCATGTGCCAGGCTCTCTGCTAAGCAGGGACACCGTCCCTTCCCCCTCGGGAGGAGCTCTGGTGCTAAGCCATTCACTGGGCTCACTAATCTGAAAGCTTCAGCTCTCGCTTCCTTTCTAGCCATGTATTACTATTATATTATTTTCCGTGCTCTGCGGTATGTTATTTGCTGATTTAGTATGGAACTCCTTGATCCTTGAACACTGCCTGGGAGACCCAAGGAGTGCAGCCATTGAGAGGCCATGAAGAAAAAATAAAGGACCTCACTCAGCCACAGGTGGTGAGAAACAGCTTCAAGAAAGGAGGGGTTGAAGGATTTAATTGAAGAATTAATATTTCCTTTTCGAGTCTTTTTCTAGATGAGGGAGCCAGCTCTTGTCCATGTGTCAGCTCTGCAGGGGTGGGGTCATGGGGATTTGCAGTGATCTCTCTGTTTCTTTCGTTTCAGTATTCAAGGAAAAGCCTAAACATCCCCCCAGCAGGGCCCAGTCCCTGAGCTATGCCTTGGCATCCCCTGATGCTTCGTACTTAAGCTCCATTGTCCGGATCTTCAAAAACCTCAACTTTGTGCTGCTCGTCATCACCTACGGTAAGGTGCACATGTGTCCAGGAGTGTATTTAAATTGGGAATGTGAGACAAGAGACCTGATGTGTCTGTGTGTCTTACTCCTTCCAAATCCCAAATGTGTATATAAAGCTGTTGCTCAGGGTCAACCAGAGAGTCAGCTGTACCTCAGGGCCTTTGCATGTTCTCTAGAGTTCACCTAGAAAACCATTCCTCCCCATGTCAAGTTGTCTGACAAATGCCTGCTGATCCTCCAAGTCTCACCTGAGTATCACTGCTATAAAGTGACCTTTACCTCTTTTATTATGCTGTTCCTGGTACATCTTAACACTTAACCATTAAAAAAAATTTTTTTCCAGGTCTGTCTTGCCCCTAGACTGTGAACATTCCAAGAGTGCGGATTTATGGCTTTTTATCTTTATATTTCCTCAGCAGTGGCCAGCCTGGAGTGGACACTCTAACAGTTATTTAGTGAATGAATGAATGAATGAATGTATGAGTCTTGCCACATAAACCACTCCTCAGCCAATCCTCTGTCATTTTATAACACTGATTCCTTTTTGACCTGACTGCAAGACAGTATCCCTCTTTTATTTCACTTTTTTGGCTTTTGGTAAGATACATTTGAATATTTATGCATTAAAAAAATTTTTTTTAAAGATTTTATTTTACTTATTGTAGGCGGTGGGGGAGAGAGAGAGAGAGAAGGTCCATGAGCAGGGGGAAGAGCAGAGGGAGAGGGGAAGCAGACTCTGCTGAGCATGGAGCCCGAAACAGGGCTCGATCCCATGACCTCCAGATCATTACACAAGCTGAAAACAAAGAGTCAGACTCTCACCCAGGTGCCCCTACTAGTTAGTTTGTTTAAAATCAAGAGTCAACAGTTGTGTAACATGCTTCGTAACCATAAGAAAAAAAGAAACGATGTTGGTTTGACGTAATTTATGCTTACTGAAACCCCAGGTGGCTATAACCTTGTTTTCTGTACAAACCTTGTATTTTCTGTACAAAACCTTGTTTTCTGTACAAACCTTCTTGCATTTTATGTAAATGTATTTACAACAGCATTTACTATGTCCCGAGACTTTTCGTATATGATTTTATTTATTTAACTCTCATCACACCCATGTGAGGTAGGTACCATAGTTATCCCTATTCAACAGATGAGAAAACTGAAACTCAAGACAGGCTAAGTAGCTCAAGAAGACACAGCTTTGAATTGGCAGAGCCAGGATTCAAATACAGGTTTATCTGACTCCAAAGATTACACAATTAATGCCTATACCCCTTTCTAGAACTGTGCCAGAGTTTCATGTTAGGCTTATCATGCTCTTTATCTAAATTAGAGTGTTTATCTGCTGAGGCACTAGATAAAAAAGAGGTAGTATCATCCACAGGAGAGGGGCACGCCTATTTTTCAGGCACTCACAAAAATAAGTGATCTCTCACCCGGAAAAGTGCTGGATGAGCAGATTAGTCTTCAAGGTCTCAGGTCTCTGTTTCTGATTCTCTCCTGCTTTTCAGTTCTGAGTATGTCTCTGCCTTCACCCACAATATAAAGACAGAGTTTCCAATACTTAAGATACCCAACTAAAGAAGTTATGTGAGTTGCCCATCAGTGGGAGGCATTCAAGTGTAGATGGGACCAACTACTTAGTGGGGATATTGTGGAGAATGTCAGGCTATATAGATGGATAGTAAAGCCACATGACCTTTGGGATCCCTTGCAGATTCAGGATTGCATGGTTCTGAGAACTTTCACTTTTCCTGAGTTAAACATCTCAAGTACATTGACCTTTGAACATCATAAATCTTATTGCATCTGACATCAGGGTATTTGAGGCCTACATTGGGATTCTAGGGCAGATGAGTGCTTAATAAATATTTTCTATGGATGAGAAGGAGGATAGTGGTGATAACTGGGCAATGACCCCAGTCTGGAGGCGGGGGAGAAAAGCAACTCTTCCTCTTCCCCTCTTGCATGGCTGGTTGCTTATATGGTCTTTAATTTGGCAGAGTGATTTTAATACTGTACTTCTGAACATTCATCTATTTGGTTACATGATAACACAGGAAACAAATAGGGAAGCACTTCTGGAATGGTAGAGTGAGGACCCTGGATAATTTGTTATCCCATAAAGCAACAAGTACACTGGCAAACATTGTCAAAATCAAATTTTCAGAACTCTACAACAAAGGTGTGCAACAATCCAAGGGACATTTATTCAAGGAAAAAAGATCTGAATAATGGCAAGAACAGTGAGCTTTGTGTTTTAACTTGCCCTATTCTGATCCGCCTCTGCCAGTCTCTGTGGTAGCCTTGACAACCAGCAGCCTAGCAGCCATGGTAGTTGTGAGAACCAGCAGCCTCACAGACACTTGATGGGGCAAAAACAATTTTGGAGCTCCCCCAAAAGCCCCATTCCTAGGTCATTATTTGATATCTGACAGTTCTCTAGAAGAGCCCCATTCAGAGGACTTGCTTTTATTTAACCTGACTCAGAGCTTGCTCTGTGGGAAAAGCACTATTTCCAGGGCATTTGTTGAAAACAATCAGTGTTTAGCATTGTGGCTGCCTAAGGTAGAATACCAGTTGGGGTAAACAGGAAGCTGGCCAAAAATCTTGAAACAAAAATCTAGAGAATGAGATTCTCATTCTCTAGGGGCTTTGAAAAGCTCTGACATATTCTTAGGAATCTAGAAGTCCATGTCCACATTACCAGGAAAGACCTGACAAAGCCCTAAACTCTCACCTCTGGCTGACCTTGAGGCTCTGTGCAAGGAGGAAGTGAAGGCTAAGGCAGAGTTGACACCTGCCTGCTGGAGCATTGAGGGAGAAGCCCAACCCCCACACAGAGGAGGTCCTTGGCAAAGGTGGAGACTTATTGGTTTAAGGTATTTAAGGGAATCTCTGTCTAATCATTACCTCACCACTAAACTGATGAAGCAGAAACTTCAGCGGCTACACATGACAAAGAATACAAACTTTACAAAATTAGTCCAGGAGAGTCACTAAACAAATAGCAACAGCAACAAATCCTGAGGAGGGAGGAGAATCTCATTTCCAAAGTTGACATGGTATTTAAAATGTCCAGCTTTACCAAAAGATTATGAGACATGCAAAGAAATAGGAAAGTAAGACTCATACACAAGGGAAAAAAAGCACTTAATAGAAACTCTTCCTGAGGAAGCCCTGATGTTGGACATAATAAAGATTGTAAATCAACAATATAAATAGGTTCAAAGAACTAAAGAAACCATGCCTAAAGAATGAAAAAAAGATGGAGAATAATGTCTTACCAAATAGAGAATATCGATAAAGACAGGAATAAAAAAGAACCAAATAGGAATTCTGGAATTGAAAATACACTAACTAAAATGGAAAACTCACTGGAGGGCTCAAAATCAGATTTGAGCTGTCAGCAGAAAGAATCCGTGAAATTGAAGATAGATCAAATGAAATCCTGTCTGAGGAACAGAAAGAATAAAGAATGAAGAAAAATGAGCCGAGCCCCTGAGACCTGTGGGAAACCATCAAGCAAACCAACATATGCATAACGGGAATCTCAGAAGGTGAGGCGAGAAAGGGTGGAATTAAATTGTCATTTAAACTGGGATAGCGCTAGCCAGAAAAGCAATTCTCTTCTGAGTCTCTAGGAGCGTTTGACTCCATTGTATAGATAGAATTTATTAATTTTTTTTTCCTCAAAGGCCTGGGGTTATTCCAGTGAGAGAGAGTTAAACTAATCTGGATGTTTGCATATATTTCATTATAGTCAGAAAACCGCGAGCCTTTTTCCATGATAGATAATTGGACTTGGTGACTAAGCTCTTGACCAACAAGGAAATGATTTTTAGGCTTAATCATAGACTTGGAAAGAATTTTATTGAGCCATTACTGTGTGTCAGGTACTATGTTAAGGGCTTTACATGGATTATCACATTTAATCTTCAAAACAAACCCATGACATCAGTTCTTAATTCCATTCCATTTTATATATGAGGAAGCTGAGGCTCTATTTAGTTACGTGCCCACAACTGGAAGGCTAGCAAGCAACAGAGCTTGGATTTAAACTTCTGTCTGTCTGATGCCAAAGCCCATCTTCCTAACCGCCCTGCCATTTTTGCCTCCCTATGGAGAAAGGAACATCTTAGAGACAGAGAGCTCTTTTAAGCCCCACTTGTCTGAGTGGTCTTTGGATCTACCTAGTGGAGTAAGTACTTCTTCAGATTCAGTCCTCCAGACCAGTTGCCTGGGATGGGAGTTGCCTTCTCCTAAGATGCAAATCTAGAGTTCCGGGGTTTTTGAAGCAGGATCAACTTATATTGACCAGCCATTTTTGGGATTTAGAAAGGATGGGGTCTTGACTTTAGCATCTCTCTAAGGCTTAGAGGTCATGTAAAGGCAGTGTTTGGGACTCAGTCCACCTAAGAATCACTGCTCTCTTCCAAATTAAATCTTTGTTCCCAATTACAAACAAAACCCTCTATAAATTCAGCTAGATGCTTTGAAGCTCTCCAGAATGTCCCCCACCCTTCCTGTAGTTTCAGGTTGGGCTTTGAAGAAGGAAATGGTTCATACTTTTTATATTGTATATATGATATTCATATTTTCCTCTGAATTACATGCACTTAAGAGCATGTGGCTTGAATCGAGCAGATGATAGCATTTCATGGGCACATTTGTTGGACATGGGTAAACACATCTTTGAGTAAGAGCCTTGAATGCTGGAGTGGTGAATTCAGAGTTGGCACATAAGAAATAAGAAGTCTGAGTTTTGATGTCAGCTCTGCCAATTATTAAGTGTACCTCCTTCACCCGTCCTTTGCCCATGAAATAATAATCTCAGAAAATAAGAATTAAATTTACTTCCCATTGGAGTGCTCAGAGTGGAAATGAAAGCTTTTAAAGCAATTGCAAATAGATGCTGCATGAATCCACATTGCTGTTGCATTGGTAAACTTGATTTCCTACATTCTTTTGTTGGTCTGAACTGGATTTCACCAAGTAGGGAGTAGCTCCCATGTAGCTGGTGGGATGTCCAGTACTGTCTTTTTAGTGGCTTTCCAAGCGCTTCTCCAAACTGCTGAGTCAGCTGCCCAGAGCGGAGCCTGGTGAGGGCTTTGGAGGAATTCCAGGGGCTTTTACTTGTAGGCCTCTGGTCATACCCTTAGTGGTAGGTTTGAGAGATAAAATAAGGGCTATCCAGCTAAATTTGAATTTCAGGTAAACAGCACATTCTTTTCAGCATAAACGTCCCATGGAGTATTTGGGGCATATTTATGCTAAAAAAGTGTTACCTGAAATTCAAGTTGTAACTGGATGTGTTGTTTTTGTTTTTCTCCTAAATCTGGCAGCCCAACTTGGAGGGGAGGGGGCAGAGATGGGGTTTGTGTTTGATGTTGCTGAAATATTACAGGAATAAAAAACTGCCTCTTCCTCTAGTGAAATACCACCACCACCCACCCCTCCTCCAGGTTTGGCAATGCAGGAAGACCCAGGGCTGGAACCAGATTCTCTACAGGTCTGTCAGAGTCTGGGGGCAGGATGGGTCTTGGGATGTGTATCAGCAGAGGTGGGAGGGAGTGTGGGGTAAGAGAATAACCTTTCTTTGGCTACCTTCTCTTTGAGTCCCTAGGCCCTGCTTTCACATGGCCTCCTCTACTGCCTTATCATCAATGGCGCAACAATTGCCATGTTGAAAAAAGTTGTTGAAAAGGCTCCTCTTCTAAAGAATGTCCTCAAAGGGAATACTTTTCCATGTTATCCCTCAGCCTTGCCTTCAGGTATGCTTCTGAATAATCTTCCAGTGTTGGGCATCCAGACTCAGAGCCCAACACTGGAAGATTATCACCTTCCCTTGGGGCTTTCAAGGGCTTTACTACTGCTCACCCCCCATGGGTTTAGGGAGGGTGATTGTGCCCGCTCTCAGATCCTGCTTGAGAGTGGGCATAATATCCTTGTAATTTCCTGGAGCTTTGCTGAGGTGAGGCTGGCCCTTAAAATGAAGGTTTACTGCACATTCAGGAAGGACCCAAGGGAAATGAACACAGAGTATCCAGAACCCAGAGATAGGATCTGGGAGCAGTGTTTCTTGAATGCGTGCCTGGATTTCCCTGCCTTTCTTCTAGAAATTCAGTTTCAGAAAGTCTGGGTAAGGGCCTGGGAATCTGCTCTTAAAAAGCATTCCAGGTGATTCTGGTTTGCAGCAGGGTTAAGCATATCTAAAGTAGGTGTGTTATGGGTCATTCTCATGGTCTTGAAGCCCCTTCCGATCCCAGTTGCCACCATGTTAACCCCAGCACCTGGGAGCCCAGGCCTGGTCTTGGATCTTCCAGATTCCCAAGGTCATTTATTTCTGAACTCTACTGAGTCTAAGAAATGACCAGGGTTGTTGTTGTTGTTGTTAAGTGGACTCTACACTTGAACTCAAGACCCTCAGATCAAGACCTGAGCTGAGATCAAGAGTCAGACGCTTAACCAACTGAGCCACCCAGGTGCCCCTGTTGTTGTTTTTGTTTTTGTTTTTAAAGATTTTATTTATTTATTTAAGATAGTGACAGAGAGAGAGAGAATGTTTGAGTGAGTGGCGAGGGAGAGTGGCAGATGGGGAGGGACAGGGGCAAGAAGACTCCCCACTGAGCGTGGAGCCCAACACGGGGCTCAGTCTCATGACCTGGAGATCATGACCTGAGTTGAAATCAAGAGTGTGACATTCAGCTGACTGAGCCACCCGGGTGCCTGCTGTTATTTTTAAATTGCAGATTCCTAGCTCCATTCCAGGAGAATCAGATTTAGTAGGTCCAGGGTGGAGCCCAGGAATCTGCATTTTTAAACTCTCCTGCACTTAACTTTGTGTCTCATTTCTGTGGGAACCTGATAAAGGGAGTAAGTGAACGGCATTTAGGCAACATCGCATATGATAAAGATGGCCTCGTGATAAAAGTGACTATCTGGACTGGGGGACGTTTCATATCTGGTAGGAGGCCATTCTTTGTGCTTCTCTGAGTATGGTGACTCTTCACTGACCTGTCCTCTAGGGGACCCCCAAAGCCATGCCTGTGGAGATGCTACAAGCAATAGTCGCTCCTGTGAGGTGTTAAACCAGGGTAGTTGCCATACCCACATTGCCCTGCACCTGTGCCATCACCGTGGGGCCAAAGAGGATAGCTTCTGGATGGTTCCATGGTCTGGGGTTCATGGGAGAGGAACCCCTGAGGCTGCCCTGCTCTCGAGCTGTGTCCTGTTACTTAGAGTCTTCTAAGTGTATCTAATGTCATATGCCATGATAGTCTTGTGAGCCTCAAAATTAGTTAAAATTAAAAAGACCCCTGGTGAGCATTATAAAGTGACGTTCTGTATTTGTTTTTAAACTCTGTGTGCATTTTTCTCATCTATAAAATGGGGATGATAATATTACCTACCTTGCTATGAGGATTGTAAGGTACTTACAACAGTGTCTAGTACATAAGTATGTGCTACTGCCACCCTCCTCCTCAGCACCCTCCTCCTCACCATCCTCCTCACCATCCTCCTCACCATCATCCTCCTCACCACCCTCCTCCTCACCATCATCCTTCTCACCACCCTCCTCACCACCCTCCTCACCATCATCCTCCTCACCACCCTCCTCACCATCCTCCTCCTCACCATCCTCCTCCTCACCATCCTCCTCACCATCCTCTTCCTCACCACCCTCCTCACCATCATCCTCCTCACCACCCTCCTCACCACCCTCCTCCTCACCATCATCCTCCTCACCACCCTCCTCCTCACCACCCTCCTCACCATCATCCTTCTCACCACCCTCCTCCTCACCATCATCCTTCTCACCACCCTCCTCACCACCCTCCTCACCATCATCCTCCTCACCACCCTCCTCACCATCCTCCTCCTCACCATCCTCCTCCTCACCATCCTCCTCACCATCCTCTTCCTCACCACCCTCCTCACCATCATCCTCCTCACCACCCTCCTCACCACCCTCCTCCTCACCATCATCCTCCTCACCACCCTCCTCCTCACCACCCTCCTCACCATCCTCCTCCTCACCATCCTCCTTCTCACCACCCTCCTCCTCACCACCCTCCTCACCATCATCCTCCTCACCACCCTCCTCCTCACCACCCTCCTCACCATCCTCCTCCTCACCATCCTCCTCACCATCATCCTTCTCACCACCCTCCTCCTCACCACCCTCCTCCTCACCACCCTCCTCACCATCCTCCTCCTCACCCTCCTCCTCACCATTATCCTTCTCACCATCATCCTCCTCACCGTTTTCCTCCTCACCATCATCTTCCTCACCATCCTCCTCACCGTCGTCCTCAACATCAACATTAGCATCCTCATCCTCATCCTCATCCTCATCCTCATCCTCATCATCGCCGTTGGGTCAGTTCCAGTCTCATATTAGCTATTAGCTGACTGTATAGCTTTGGACAAATGGCCTCATGGATTCTTACAGTATATTCTAGGTGCTCCATTTATTCGTTGGATGAATTGATGAGTTAGGAGAGTCAGCTCAATGCTCTTTAGGGTCCTTTCTGGTTTCAGATATAAGATTTTGTGTGATATTGGACCAAGAAGAAAGCTGAAGGAGGAATGGGGACAGAAAAGAGAAACCACCCACAGAAGGAGTGATGTGGGGGTCAGAGGCCTGGAGCAGTCTGGAGAGGGAACAGGTCATCCGGAGGAGATGAAGGTGTCCAGTAGTTCTGCTGACCCTGTAGGTCAATAGGTCAATGCTTAAGAAGAATGTAGACGGTTCTGACCTGGGAGTAATGCTTTCTAGAGCCTGTGTTTCCAGGGCAGGCTTAAAGGGATCAGAGGGCAGTGGTGTGGGCTAAGAAATGGTTAAAATCGTTACTTTGGGTTGTTTTGGAGTCTTTTCTCTGACAGAAACTGCAGAGTAACCTACTTTCTGAGGACACCACTCATAATGGTGAGGAGGATGAGGATTTCTGACCTCCCTACCTGCCAGGGGGAGAAGTTAGCAATGGCCCCAGCAGAAGGCTGCCCCTAATGCAATGTGTCTCCCTCCCTCTTTCAGGTCTGAATGCTGGTGCTTTTTATGCCTTGTCCACTCTGCTGAATCGCATGGTGATCTTGCACTACCCGGTAAGGTAGTCCCCCGAGCACACTGGACCTGAAGAGCGTGAGATTTCTGTCCATCTCAGCAGGACCTGGGGCAGCAGTTAGCTCTAGTCTCTGGTCCCCCCACCCCCCAATTCTAGGCAGCGTGGTATGGTGGTATGCTTATGGATTTGGAGGGAGACAGCTCTGGATCTCCCCTGGCTCTGGTGCCTCTAAATTGTGTTACAAGCTGGTTAGCCTCTCTGAACTCTCATTCTCCTTCCTGCAAAAGAAACATAATTACTTATTGAAAGATTATTTTTTAGGATTAGAAAGTAAACAATACTATGTATGTGTGTGTGCATATATATATATTCATATGTTCTATGTATGTAAAGCACATGGCATGGTGCCTAGCAATACAGTAGGTAAACATACAGACATAGATCATGTATGAAAGATTTAATTTGTAAAATAGGGGCAGAGTTTAATTTTGAACTCTTAGTTGCTCGACTGAAAGCATTCCTTTTTTTTAAAAAGATATTATTTATTTGTCAGAGAAGGGAGAGAGAACACACGAGGAGGGGGAGGGGCAGAGGCAGAGGGAGAAGCAGGCTCCCTGCTGAGCAAGGAGCCCGTTGCGGGACTCGATCCCAGGACCCCGGGATCATGCCCTGAGCTGAAGGCAGAGGCTTAACCGACTGAGCCACCCAGGCGTCCCTGAAAGCATTTCTTAAATATTTCCAGAACCAGCAAGGGCTGGATCCTGGGAGTGGGATACTGTGTGTCCTGGAGTTGGGAATCCCAGGTCCAACCCCTTTTCAAAGGACAAGGGTCTCACACTTGCAGAGGTGGTAGGCCACTGTGGCTAATGTGTTCCAGTTTTGGAGTTTGATAGGTCTGAGTTCAGATCCTAGCTCTGCACTTAATAAATACCACACGACCTCTGGCTAGCACGTTAATCTCACTGTGCCTCAGTTTTTTTCATCCGTAAAGTGTAGAATATTGATTTCTAACCTTATGGTGGGGAATTTTGAGAAGCAAATGAGATTATATAATGGTTATCTTCCCATTCCTTTTGGCACTACTAGCTCAAAAAAAAACTAAGTACAGAATATTTGGATATATGTATTTCGGTCTCCTCGTTTGTGAAATGGGGATGATGATAAATAAGATAAAAGGGTTGCCATAAGGATTAAATTTAAAAAAGATCTACTTCAAAGTGGGTCTAGGACAGTTTGGTTGACCTCAGCATCCAGGATCATGCACACACATCTGGGTTATATTAGATTGGGAGGAGCAACTATTCTAGTAGTCTCTCCCTACTGGCAGCTTCTTAAAGGCCATCTTGCCCTGGTACGTTCAGAGAATAGGCTCTAATGGAGTCTGAGTTACCTGCCTTTCCCCCGTCACCTGGTGACTGTGCTCTGTCTGGTGTCTTGTCCCATTGCTGGGTGATCACTGGGGCTGTGGTTTTCCCAGGGGGAAGAAGTGAATGCTGGAAGAATAGGCCTGACCATCGTCATTGCAGGAATGCTTGGGGCTGTGATCTCAGGCATCTGGCTGGATAGGTCGAAAACCTACAAGTAAGTGACCTCCTCTTGGACTGAGAATTGGGGACCCATGTTTTGAAATGACACATTCCTCGGCAATATGACTCCAAAGGGCTGGGTGCAGCAGCTGGGGGTCTCAGTGGTCAAGTGGTTCACATGTATCTTCTCTAAGCCTCAGGTTCTCCATTTATAACATGAGGGAAATAGTACACATTCCATGGGGGGGTCTTGGTCAGATCAGAGATGGAGGACAAGAGGCCTAGCACAGTACTCTTCCCCAGAGCCCCATGTAGTTTGCAGAAGGGACAAATGAGGGAGAAATGAAAATGAATATAGAAAAATGCCAGCAGTTGGAAAGCTTATGGAAACCCCAAAGAGTGGCAATGAGGAAGTGATCCCCTGCCCCATTCCGCCGGCTCCCAGGGGCTAACCAAGGTGTCTGGGCTAACTCTGGCTTACAACTGTATTATCTTGCAACTGCTTATACCTCCTTCATAAATATTGTGATGTGCTTTGGGCCTGAATGCCCAGTGTGTTTCCAGGAGCCCAGAGAAGTCTTTCTAAGATTTTAGTGTATGCCAGGCTAACCCAGGACGCTTATTGAAAATAGATTCCTGGGCTCCATCCTCATGGATGCCAATTCAGTGGGGGAAACTGCTTTTGTAAGGAGCAACCCACCCAGGTGCCTCTAAGCCAGGCTTAGAAAAAGGCTCTAGAGAATGCAGACCCAACACCCTTCCCTTCTTGTTGCTCCTTTCCAGTGCTGGGCATGCACTGGGTGCTCAATTAATACTGGTCAGTTGGGTAGCTGCCAGGTTTGTCCTACACTGGGGCAGGGCAGCTGCTTTGTCGAGGCCTCCTAAGTTCCCCGTGTCTGGAGGCGATAGACAGTGGCAGACCTGGTCTCTGCCACACAAACCCGCTTCTGTGAGGCTCTGGTCAGACCAGGTCTCACTCTGGCTGCCCCAGACAAAGGCCACTTGAGGTCATCCCTGGGGATGTGGTTGCGTGGCTGAACGCGACGTGGAGCCTGGCGTGGCTTAATGACTGCTGGTGGAGCTTGGCTGCCATCTCGTCTCTGCGATGTGTCAGTCGCTTGCTTCAGCCAGACCCGAGAGCAGTGAGGACTGGCCACCGCCAAACCAGCGAACAGCAGTGTCCCTTCTTCCAGGGCTTGCTCTGTGGCGGGAGAGGGAAAGGATTGGAACAACAGCTGGGCTGGGATGTGGGTAGCCAGATGGCTGAGAAGAACTAAAAAATACAGGGAAAGGGCTGAGGGCACACTTCAGAAGGTAGATGCCACTGTTTGCTAGCGTCACTGATGTCTTACTCCTGCCTTCAGCATGAGATGCCCTTCACCCTGCACTATGACCCGAACAGAGAAAGATGCTCTGCAATCAGGGCATTTTGGTGCCCGTTCTCCTCTCCCTGCGGCTCCCAGATTTGTCCCGTTTGGTTTGGAGGCTGGAAATTGGGTGGGTCATATCCCATTATTTGAGGCTGGGACTACTTACAGTTTTTCTAAATGGGTCAGTGGTTTAAAATGAAGCTATGGTTAAGAAAATATGGCAAAAGGGGAGCTTGTGTGGCCGGCAAAAGAAACTGGTATCCATGAAGTTGCCTTCTGTGGGGTGGGTGGGACCAGATGAGGGTGCAGGATGGAGGACGAGGAAGCCCCTCTGCCTTCAGCAGCTGCTTTGAAGCCCCAGGTAGGAGGGGCATCCTTTGCAGCCTCTGGCTTTGAGCTTTCCCGAAGATGCAACCCTGTAGCGTGTCCGTGTGTATTAGTGTATTAGGTCCTGTGTGCAGCAGTAGAAAGAGCAGCATAGGTTTCAGATCCCAGCGCTGGGTCCAAATCCCAGCTCTGCATTTACTCAATGGGTAATTCTGAATAAGTAACTTAATTGGTCTGAGCCTCAGTTTCCTGGGATTAGTTTGATAAAACCACAGTGTACGTCTGCTGGTGCCCCCACCATGTTTCTTGTTTCGGGGGGATGCGTGAAGGCTTTCGGCTTTCAGCTTTCTGTCTCTGAGTCCTCATTTCATGGCAGGCGGGCAGAGGGATGTGCAGAGCCCGCGGCCTGCCATAAGCAGGACAGGGAGAGGAACACAGGTCCAGCTGCGGGGGTGAGGCTGCAGCAGAGTCACGAGTGGGCAACATGGGAGGAGAAATGTGGGGAGGGGTGAAAGCAGGGTGAACCCCAAACAGAAAGCAGCAGGCTGCTGCTGATCCCTCTGAGGGGACTGGCAAAGGGAAATGTCATGGGGAGTGGGCAGAGCTTTCTCACTTCGGCTTGGGAGTCAAGTACTTAGTTCAGGGCTGGAGAATGTTCTCACTTACTTTCTGCTGTCTGGCGCAGAGTAGTTCAGGTTCGGTGAAAAATCTGTGCTGCACCTGTGCCAGTGGCAACAGGAAGAACTTCGAGATGACAAAGAATCTGAAAGTCAGTTCACTGCCCAGCATGGCCATGGGGTCTTGGGGCCAAGCAGACCAGCAGAATGAGGTGGCTTCTGGGGTAGTCCCACATACCATGCTGCCTGACAGTAGCTGATATTTGTTCTGTGTTTATTTGGTGGAGGACGAGGAAGGGAGAGTGTTGTGCCCTTCCTGCTTGGGGTGCAGCTTGATATTGTTGAGGGGGTTCTATAGGAATTGAACACACACATGTAGCAAGAAGGCTTCCTCCTCTCCTGATCCTCCCCTTTGTAGCACTGGCCAAAGTATAATTAAGTAATAATTTGTGTGATCATTGGTTCAGTGTCCATCAACCTCATGGACAGAAAGTTCTGAGAGCAGATGTCCCAGCGCGCAGCAGAGGGCTTGACACATAGCAGGTGCCCAATTTATACTTGTATATTGGATGGATGGATGGATGGATGGATGGATGGATGGATGGATGGATGATCCTGTTACAGTCAGAAGTGTATGACTAAATGTCTTTGCCTCTGCTTGTAGGGAGACAACCCTGGTGGTCTACATCATGACGGTAGTGGGCATGGTGGTGTACACATTGACCTTGAACCTGGGATATCTGTGGGTAGTGTTCATCACCGCTGGCACAATGGGGTAAGTTTGACCTCTGACCTGTCCAACCGGAAAGCAGCATCCCATGGCTCCTAGAGCTGCCGACTTCCTTGGAAGCAACACTGACCCCTTTGCAGGCTTCTCATTGACCTCTGGAGATGTGGAAATCGTGGCCAGAGGTCTTGTTTACTTGTAGCACTTCAAAAGGCCGCCCGGGGCTTCCATGCTGTTGGGATGGAGTCTGTCCTTCACAGACCTCAGGGAGGCTAGGAAATGTTTAGAGTCTTTTGTAGCTCTGCCTGGGACAGTGTGGGGTCGGAGAAAGTGCACAGGGCTGGGAATCAGGAAGTCTGCATTCTGGTCTCGCTTCCACTGCTGATCTTTAGATGACAGGTGCATCACTTAACTGCTCTGAGCCTCAGTTTCCTCATCTGTAAATGAAGATGAATGGCCTGCCTTGTATAGTTGTTGCAAGGAGTGAGAGAGAAATAAGTGTGAAAGCAGCACAAAGTGTGGGACAGATGTAAGAAATTAGAGTTGGAATTTTCTGGACCTGTTGTATGAGAAAGCACAGGAAACAGCACACTTTCCACAGGGGTCTCTGCTTAGCTTTACATCCCAGTTATTTTCCTGTGGGCACTATATGAATGTGTGTGTGAGAGAGGGAGACAGAGACAGAGACAGACAGACACTCAGTCTTTCTCAGCTGGTGACTCTCCAGAGGGAAAAAGGAGGACTCTCAGATCCTCCTTCCAGGTCCCAGAGAGCATGGAGATGCTGTTCGGTGTCCAGGGATTTCCCACTCCCAGCACAGGGCCTGGGAACCCATGACACAATTTCTCAGCTGAGGACTAAACACTGCAGGCATCCCCCATTCCCTTCTGCCAGTGTTGACCCTGTCTGTAATTGATGGCTGGACATAGAAGAAGCAGGAGACCCCCGGGGGCTCCTGAGCATGAAGCCTACATATGAACTTCTTGACCTGCAGGGGCCTCTCTTTCCTTGGTATGGCCACCTGGGGGATGGCCTGATTATTCAAAGGCCTGGAATGTCTTGATGACCAGAAACAAAACAGGAAAAGGAGTTCTGAGGGAGGAGGTGGGCTCCTTATCCTTCTTGCCCTTGAATTTCTCCATCACCTTGTTTCTGTGATCTGGTCTTCAGCTTCTTCATGACTGGCTACCTCCCGCTGGGATTTGAGTTTGCTGTAGAGCTGACATACCCAGAATCAGAAGGCATGTCGTCTGGCCTCCTGAATGTGTCTGCCCAGGTAGGGCTCTTATTTGGTGGTGGCCCCAAAGCAGTGGCTCTTTGTTTCCTACTTGACTTGGCTGCCACAGGCATTGTATCGTGGTAGCTCAGTTCTCTCATGGGCTAGTTGGCCGGGCCCTTGTTTTCAGTCTTCTTTGTGCCTTTCCAGGTATTCGGGATCATCTTCACCATCTCCCAGGGCCAGATTATTGACAACTACGGAACCATGCCTGGGAACATCTTTCTCTGTGTTTTCCTCACCCTTGGAGCAGCCCTCACTGGTGAGTTGGGGCCTCAAGACAAGATGATGCTCACTCAGGCTGCTCGTGGGCTTAGGCTGTTGGCAATTTGAGACCTCAGTGTTTTGACTGATCATACAGATTGGGGGTACACATGCAGACGGGCAGAGGGGAAGGCTTATTAGGAAATGTGTTTGAGAAGCAGTAGCATGTTTTGGTGGAATGAGCCTCGGATTTGGCGCCAAAAGACCCTTGTTTGCATCCCAGACTGTGACACTGACCTCCATAGCTGTTTGACCTTGGACAAGTGGACCAACTTCTGGAAGGCTCAGTTTCTTAATCTATAAAATGGGAGTTGTTGTAAGGATTGGAGCAACATGTGCAAACTCCCTGGCCAGTATAACTGATCTATAAATGAAGGCCAGTGTCATCCTTGGCTTCTGCCTGTAGGGACATCAGTGATCCCTAGGCTTTGTCAAGTTGGTGGGTAGAACCTCCCATCTCCCTGGAATATCTACAGTAGGTCTGAGATACCTGTGACCCTTAGGAAAATGAGGGCTCCCTCTCTTGGGTGAACTTCATCATTGGTCTCTTGTTAATTGTGTCTTTGGTGTTCTCTCTCAATCTCTTGACCTCAGCATTCATTAGGGCAGATCTTCGGAGGCAGAAAGCAAACAAAGAAACTCCTGAGAATGTGAGTATGTGGAAGTTTTGAGAGCTGGGTCCCAGGCTTTGTTTGAGGATGTGGCAGCATGGGTGGGCCAGGGGGTGGGAGGGGGGGCCTCCCAGAGTGGACTGGTTCTCTGGAGGCCGTGAGACCAGCTCAACTTGCATAAACATGGCGCCCAAGAGTTTCCTGGGTGGGTGTTCAGCATGGCTTTTGTGTCTGCTCTTTCCCGGACTCTTCTGCTTCCTTCCCTTCTCCTGGCCTCCCTGCTGTGGTCCCCAGAGCACGTCACTGTTGTCACAGTCTGCTGAGCATCGCCCACTCCTTGGATCCTGAGACAAGTCCTGAGACACTGGCTGCACTGCTTTCAGCCTGGGGTCAGTGGCTGGAGAGGAAAGGTGGGAGCCTACCTCGACCACGGTGGTGGTGGCCCCGAGGCAGTGGTTCTCCTGGCATGTTACAGCCCCTTAGGCAGTGCCATGGGGATGGAGGGACTGGAGCCTGTGCATTTCCAGTAAGGCTCTAAAAGGGCAAGTCAGGGAGTAGGAGCTGATGGTGGCAGAAGTGGGAGGACCAGGAGTATGATTTAGAACAGAAGAGGGTTTCCCATCTGCTTTAATCAGCTAGGGACGATTCTAACCAAAATGTTAGGTATCAAATCTGAGCCAGGATGAAAGCAATTTCAAATCTGAGGAGGAAAAGTGGGATATTACTTAAAAAGCAAATAAGCCACCCGAAACCTATTACAGAGGGAATACATGTTCTTTGTAGGAAAACTAAAAAATACATAAAAGTATACAAAATTTAAAAATCATCCTGTAATATCATCGCCTAGAGATGAAATGCTGTTTTTTTGCAATTACTTATATGTCTATATCTACATATAATATGTGTGTATATATATATATCTGTATATATATATATCTGTATATATTTATATATGGATATGTAAATATTTTTAAAACAAAAATGGAATCTTCTATCTGCTTTTTTACTTGTGAACACCTTAGCAGGTCGTTTTTCTTTTATAACATACTTCTAATTACAACACAGTGTTTTAATGAGTGCACATGGGTAAACCATGATTTAACAGCCTTGCTGTCTGTGGACATTAAGGTAAACAGTATCGTGATTAAAGTCCTGGAAGCTGAATCTCTGTGCATGTTCTCAAGCACAGTATTTCCTTGAGAAATGGATCAGTGGTCATGCATGTTTTGAAGATCTTGATATGTACTGCCAAACTGTTGTCGAGAAAGGAACTACCAACACTCTCAATTTATATTGCTATAGCAGTGTAGGAGTGCCAACACTGAGGCTTTATCATTTTGGAAAACTTTGCCAATTTCCTAAGGCAAAAATGGTATGTGAAAGAGTTATATTTAGTACTGTAAGGACATATGTTGGCAGATAGATGATAAGCTTTCATTGATTATTTGTCTTCTGATATCACACTTTGGAGTTGGCAGCCTACAGCAGGTAGCATGCGGAGGGTGGAGCCTCCCACAGGAAACTCAGTGGGGAGACAGGGAAGGCCTTGGAGCAGAAATGCTGTTCTCTAGACTGGTGTGAGGACCCTGGCATTACCACCATGAGGATGGGCTTTCACTTGGGCCAGATACAAGGAGACATAAGGGTTTGGAATATATAGTGAGCCTGGGAAAAATGTGCCTATAATAAAACAGGAGAGATTTCTTGTGAGAAGGTGTCAATTTGGAATGTGACACATTGTGTCAAGTGATCGGAGATTTTGCTGTTTACTTTGTAATCTGCGTTTATGTTGGCAGATACAGGCAACAGGAAGAAAGAAAAGGTCACCTATAATCCTAGCACCTGGGGATAACCTAGTAACATTGTAGTCCATTATTCAGGGTTGTTTTCTGTGGGTCTCCTGGTGCAGGTGGGGTTTCTAGCCTGCTTGTTTACTTAACAGTAGTTTGACAACCTTTCCACAGTTACATTCTACCACCTCATATCTACATATATGTATTTCCATTTCCTCTTGTTTAATATTTAGGTGGTTCCAATATTTCACTTATTCTTGCGGCCGTATCTTGGTGCACAGGGACCAGGTTTGTTAATCGAGGTTGGAGTTGTTGGCTCAGTCATCTTCTGTATGGAGTATTGGAAATAGCACTGAGTAGGAGTAGGAGACAAATCCGGGGATGGTACTCCACAGTCTGTGTCCCTGGATAACTCACCATGTGTCTTTGAACCTCACTTGCACCTGGGGAAGCTTCTGGTTATGGGAAGGTCAGAATCATGGTGGGCTGACACCCAGGGAAGCCAGGGCTGTCACAGAGCTTCCCTCCTCTGGAGCCCCCCATTACACACCCCATGGCAGTCAGCATAATTGAGACCTGGCCATGGGCACAGAAATTCATTATCAGAGCCAGCTGAAGACAGGGCGCCCAACAGATGTGGCCAGAGCTGCTCTTTCTAATCAGTGGGATACACAGTTCGGGTTAAAAAAAAAAAAAAAGAGAGAGAGAAAGACAATGTTTAGCTTGGGGCTAATGACTAATCTAGATGATGAAAATCTTGGTTTGGGGGTTTCCGTTTTTCTTCCAGTTGGTAGTTCTCGGCCAGAGACAGTGGATGTACTTCTGTCCCCGCTAATCTGTTTCTGGTTGTGATTTCCAAGCGCTGGCTTTGGAGGGGGCAGGTGTGTGTCGGCGTACACACGTGTGTAAGCGAGAGGAGACAGGCTGCTTGATTGACTTCAGCAGGCTGCTGGTGGCCTGAATGAAAGCTACTCATGGCTGAGGCTGAGCTGGTGGCAACAAACTGGCAAGAGAATGGGCAGGTTGGGTTTCTACAGCTGTTACCACTGCTGCGGACTAGCCCCGACACAGTCCCGGGGTGGGGGGCGGAAAGGGGGGAGAAGCACCATTTGTCCAGTTGGCACTGGGCCTGTAGACATTCCTCTAGCTCTCGAGTGGTGATAGCGCAGTGCTGTGCCCGTGCCAAGGCCTTCCCGCCCATAGGTAAGTGCTTGAGGTAAGAAGCAAGGCACGGCATACACCTAGGGCCCCACAGGATCATTTCCAGGCCCGTGCTTAATTCCAGACCCCCCTACACAAGTGTGAGCCGGAGGACTCTCCTAATCCTGGGCCATCTTTCCCCAATAAAGTCAAACCAGCCTGACCCAAAGTCTTCTCTAGGCATTAAGTATATATACATATTTTTAGCCATTGAGTTTATGTCTTGCCTTTATAAAAATTCTCTCTGCTGCCTCCATTCCCTGCACATCATAATAATATTCCTCATCCAGGCGGCTGCCTCCAAAGGAAGGTAGTCAGAATTTCTGTGGGCGTCGTAGAGTTGGCACTTTGGATGGCTACCTGGTGGTCAGTCCAGGGCAGTTTTAGGCCGCCAGAATGGGGAGGGAGAGTGGGCTCTGCTTCTCTTTCAGTCCCGAGAGGGAGTCTAAACACATGGGGCTCGCGGGGCGGGATGGTTTGTGGTGGCTGTGGCGTCAGAGAGAGCTGGACTTTCTGGCTTTTCTTTGATGACACAGTGAGGGTGTGCGCGGTGTGTGTGCGCGTTTAGAGGGCACACTGGCAGAGGCGGGGAGCTGCTGTCCTACTTCCCTTTGTCTGCTCTTGGGGCTGCTGAGGGGCCTCCGGCTCTTGGTTTTCCCATGACGGCGGTCCCCGACAGGCAGCTGTCCCAGCCCCGGGTGGAGTTCTGCGCCTCTTCACCCCAAGGGCTGCCTGCTTGTTGTGCCTTGCAGAGACTCCAGGGGGAGGAGGAGGAGGAGGAGGAGAGCAACACCAGCAAAGCGCCCACCACTGTGTCTGAGGAGCATCTCTGAGAGAAAAGGTGGTGGCCAGCACTCCCCACCTCTTCCGTCAGCGCTCGCTGCCGGCACGCAGGTCTTCGCTGGAGCAGCTTTTGGAGGGAACCGGCTGGAATGTTTGTGGCTTGGACGGCAGTGCCTCTGACTCCTGGAACCCACTCAAGAGCTTGCATGGTCTAGCGGGGGAGGATGGCACCTTTCACCGAACGCACGCTCCATACCCGCCCCCTCCCCCTGGCAGGCTGAGGGAGCTGGTGTTGGGAGAGACTGGTGGAGAATGGGGATGCCTTGCCGTCCCCCTTCACCTGCATCCCGCAAGCCTGCAAAATTATCACGGAGAGAAAGCTTATTCAGGATATTAACTTTTTCTAGAATGGCAAGACCCCTGGAAGCCCAGTTCTAAGGAGAGGCAGCTGCTCTGGGTGAGGGTAATTTTGGGCTCATCACACTGGCTGCTAATGTTCTGGGGGAGAGAAAGTGCCATCAGGAAACATCAGAACAGACCCATCAGGACTCGGCCTCGCTTCTCCTGCCCTAAGGTTGGGGTCTGTTTCCAGACTCTTTCCTGAGAGCTGATCAAACCAAACATCAATAAACTTGACAGAAACTTTGCTGTGGCCATGAAGGAGAAACCCGTTGGGGAGGGTGACCTGCCTGGGTGTGGAGGGCACTGGTGAAGGCCTGAATTTGGGAACTGTGGGAGCTTGATTTGGGGACAGGAAGGTTCTTTCTACAAAATCTCTGCCCAGGACTTGTGTGTGTGTGTGTCGTCACCTCTGATGCCTTCATGTGGACCCTGCCTTGAGAAGCTCTGCCATCCGATTCAGCGCTTCCTTTCTCTGAAGGGAGGGAAATCCCAGCCAACTTCCTTGTAACCTTTACTGAAAACTAACCTTGTTTCATTCCACCCTGAGAAATCCACACTGCTTCTGAGAGAGGAGAGGAAAGGGGCAGAAGGAAAGGTGGCCCTTGAAATGGGAATTGAGTCTGCTTGAATTAAGTGCCTCCTGCCTCTGGAGGGGATCGTATTCGCACGCCCACCCCTTCTCCCCATCCCCTTCCAGCAATCATCTTTTAACAGATATTGTGAATTTAAAGGGATTCCCTTTAAACCAACCCAGGGTGACCTCCTCGCCTGCCCAGCCTGCTGTCTGGCTCTACTCATGGGCTGGGGTAGTGTCCCCTGAAAATAAGACGTTTTAGTAATTTCTCCTGCATTGAGCAGCTGTGATCATGACCATTGGTGCTGTTCGGCTGTGACCACTGCCCGCTCTCGGCGTCCGGGGGCAGCCTGGGTTGGCAGGAGGGCCAGGGTGCCTGGGTCATTGCCCGAGAGGAGCCAGGGATGTGTGTGTGTGTGTGTGTGTGTGTGTGTGTGTGTTTGTACAGACATTCCGGATGTTCTGTATGTAAGAGAAGTTCACACTTCTGCTGGGGGGAGTGATGGGGGTGGAAGAGAGGTGGAAAGAAAGCATGTCTTGAGTTTTCATAGGGAGAAAGGTGTTTACTCTTCAGCTCCTTAAAACTTTTTAACAAAATGTTTACCAGATTATTCATTCCTTTATTTTAAAAGCATAATTTGTATTTTCTACTTGTAATACCGGATGTTTTAAGACAATAAAAGATTCTCTAAGTGGTCTGCCGTGTCATTAGGTGGGGCAGAGGTGTCTTTCGGCAGTCCCGAGACTCTCACTCATTTCTGGGGCCTGGGCCGACAGTATGGGAGGGGCCTGGGGCTAGAGGAGCAGCTCCCCGGGCATGCTGCAGAGGCGGGTCCTCTGTTTACACAGATGTGACCCTCCCTGTGGGCTGCTTTTTAAAGACAAGGCTATAAAAGTGAACATGGGCCTGTGCGGTGCCTTGCACCTCACCATCCCGCCCGTGACCCTGCCTGCCTGCCTTTCGGGCTGTGTACACGGGCAGACAGTCCACCCAGGGTGGCCGCCCAGAGCCCACTGTGGTTGCTGGCTCGGCCTCACAGTGTGGCTGGCCTGTTTGTCCTACGACTGCACCATCCTGCCCTGGCCATAGTCCATGCTTTCGGCTTCTGCTGTTCTGTGTTGCCATTTTTCTTCACAACTGTCCCACCTACTGCCACTTCTCCCTTCCCAGGCGTGTTCGCCTTATGCTGTGCCTTGGACTTGCTGCTGCTGTCAGTTTTCTGTACGTTTCTTTCTTAGTAAAATGCACGGTGCCTGTGGTATTCTGGCACCATTATCTGTCGGCAGTTCTCAGCTGAAGAGAGACTTGACAAGTTCTACTTTAAATCATCTCGAAAGGGAGCGGTGTGTTCTATTCTAAACCATCTCTTTAGATCCTTTGGGTCTTGTCTTTGCTTATCTGGAATTATATTTCTATGACGCATGCTTAGAGGATCTAAATCCAAACCATGCATGCTTTCATTCACTTTCTAAGGTGGGCTCCATGTGGATCTACACTCACATGCTAACTCTGTAAGATCGCTGCTTTTCTTACTATCTCTTGACAGTGGTGAGTGAGGGATAGTCTGTACTACTGAGCTGTTTTTCTAGATGTAGTGCTGTGGGGATGAGGCGTGGTATCGCTGCAACCACTTTTGGCACCATAAAAGGAATCCAGCCTGAGGACGAAGCCAACATAGGAGGGCAGGATTGAGTCCTGATCAAATCATTCCTGAAGACTATAATCTCCTTAATCTTCAGTTTTGTGAGCCAATATTATCTTTATTGTTTAAGCTAGTTTAAGATGACTTTGTTCCTTTCACCTAAAGAGTCTTAACTGATAAATTCCTAATGCATTTAAGTAGCCTCAACTTCAAGCTTCCTGTCATGCCCTTGCAAGTCCCCGCCTCCCTTCCTGACCTGTCTCTTACATTTTGCTTCCTGACTTCACTACGCGGATCTTACTCCTTGAACAAGATGGTTCCTACCTTCCAGATGCTGCTCCCTCTGCCCTAAATGCCCGCCTCATATATGAAGACATCTGATACCTGGGCATTCAAGGCTCAGCTCAGATCCCACCTCCTCAGGGAAGCCTTTCCTGACAATCTAAATCATCCACGCCCTGCCTTCTTGATCACAATACCTTGGTTTCTAGAGTTCATATTGTCTGAAGTTGTTCTTTCATGTGTTGCTTTGTTCATTGTCCGTTTCCTGGACTACAGTGTAAGGGCCACTGGGAACAGGGGCATTGCCTGGGTCATCATTTCTCTTTCCCAAGTGTCTGGCATGGACTTAAGTGTCCAATAAATACTTTGTTGAACAATGAATGGGTTCTTGAGTCTATATGCTGTGTGTGGGCCCAGCCAGTGATGAGCCCCCATCAGGGTTGTGTCTGGAGGGCAACTATCGGCTCCAGTCCATTGTCTTGGGGTTTCATGTTCTCCTTTCCATGGTGAGGCAGCTGTTTCTTCCGCGCTGTTTTCTGTCTCTGCTTTCTCAAGAATCTGTTTCTTCCTTAGGAAGAAAACAAGAAAGGGTCCTGACTGTTCAGTAGTGAACTCAGAATCTTGAAGGTGGGGAAGGAGAGACAGACTGGACTTCAGGAGAAATGAACAAGTGGTAAGAGGGGCTGGAGGCAGCCACGTGTGCCTGGGTCCTTGAGCTGTTCTACTCATTACAGTGTATTTGATCAGCAAAAAGCTGTGATTCTCCTATGCAACGGCTCGGAGAGGGGCAGGAGTGCTCTTGGCTTAGGGGAGGTCAAAGTACAAGCACTGATCCAAGCAGACGGTTTTTCTATTTTATTACAAAATTCGTTACACAAATACAGCTGACCAGAAGGTCTAAAAACAACCCAGACTCTTCCAACCCTGATCCACTTGTAGACACAAGTATATGAGCCATGCTTACTCACAGGGGAGCCCTTCTTAGAAGGACTGCCTGTTCATCAGATGGTTCAGAGTCTTGGGTCCAGCAGCAGAGAGGAGCCCAACCTGGGAGGGCAGCCTCCTGAAGCAGCCCTTGGGGGCAGCTGCTCTGGGTGACACAGCAGCTGTAAGTTTCATAGTTCACGTGTTCCCACCACACAAGTCAGGGGAAGGGATAAAAAATAAAAGGGAAAAAGCAGAAGGCTGGAAAAGGGATCCTGGAAGAGGCTGTAGGTGGGGGAAGGGCGCACACTGGGTTTCTGAGGTGCTGGAAATTTCTTGATCTGGCTGAAGGTACAGAATATTCAGTCATTTAAAATGATTCTTTCAATTGTACGTACACATTATATACTTTTCTGTATGAAGGTTATATCTTAAAAATTTTTAAATGTAAGAAAAACCCCAAACCTAAAAGGCTAGCAGTGGTAAGGGGGCTCAGGATGGTACAGAAAAGAAGAAATGAAAGAGGAGGGAGGATGAAGGAAGGGGACGGCAAAGGTGGAAGACGAAGTCTCGGAGGTGGTAATGCCAGCCTCAGTTTCTCTTCTTCTGTCTGGATACTGGTTCTACTTCTAGGTACCGGAGCCCAGCTAGCATACCCAGGATTGAGAAACCTTAAATAAGAGAAAAGAGAGGTGGCTGACATCGGCACAGCACTTTCTTACACTCTCGTATGTCTGCTCTCCTGCCCCCAGCCCTAGGGTGCAGTTCCCATGGGAGCCCGGGGGAGGGGGTCGGATGCTTACTTGCCACCATCAGGGGGGCCAGGACGCCAATTGTGGGAGCTGCGGTCCCAAAGACAAACAACTCAGAAAGGAAGTGCCCCAGGGCGAGGAGGAAGGTCCAGAGTGTGATGTGGTACAGCCTACAAGGGAGCAGACAGAAATGGGAACTGGAGGCCTGCCCGTTCAGTGCAGGGGACAAGCAGCGGTGAGATTCTACACACACACACACACACACACACACGCACGCACGCACACACACATCCAAACCCAACAAGTGACTATGGCTAAAGGAAGAGAGACTTGGGCCCGAGAAAGACCTGTCTGCTTGATTACACCAATTTACCCTCTACTAGGGCAAAACCAAAGGTTTCAACTGCTAGACTGAGAGGAGAATGGTCTCAGCATCCACGGTGGGTCTCCAAGTCGTAGCAAGGTGGTGAAGC